TTATCGAAAAGACACAGAGAAGCAATCTTACAGCGGTGACAAGTTGATTGGAGCCGAACCGCCAGATCAGGACCAGTAATATTGCTGATTCTTTTTCGCATTTTATCAAGAAGCTTAAGGTAAATAGCAGTGACGCTAGACAATAAGCGGTAGCAATATTCTAAGTATGGACGAATGGTAGACATATAGTTATGCAAGATAGATTCTCGAGAGAAAAATTGTCTCGCCCGACACAGTGAACCAACTTTCTTAGCAGCTGACCTAGCAATGGATTCGATGTTGCGTTGAAATATTTAGAGAATTTATTAATTATCGGCTTCTATTTAAAAACACTTGAAACTTTCAATTTTTTCCCTGTGGTCAACTGGGGCAACGGTACCGACTATCCAATAAGTTTTCTTTTATTATTCACAATAAATAAATTATCACCGTCTTTCGCTCGATTTTCTTTAGCAGTCGGTGATCTAATATTTTATGATGGATCACCATCAACATAATCATCATCATCGTAAATTCTATGACCCCGTGTAGTCGTAGGGTCTCTGCGCGGCTGAGTGCCTAACCAATTCCTTCCACATACCTTCTCCCTTTTTTAATCATTTCACCCCAAGCAAGGAGGAAAAGCCACTAGCACGCAGGGGGTTACAGAGAGTGAAAATGAGAGAAAAGATTGAGTATAGTTAGGGTTAATGAAAGTGCAAAAGAGGAGCGTGAATTAAGAATACAGAAGATGTCGATTGATGTTGCATTTAAATTTTTGAAGATTTTAGTTATCAGGGAAGCAAGTAACTGAAAGGGAGTTCCACAGACGGGAAGTACGAGAAAAGAAACTGTTGGAGTAGAAGTAGCGGTTGCATTTTAACATCTAGGTCCCACCCGCTTGCTGTTGAAATAGCTAAATGCTACTTCAACTCCAACGGTTTCTTTTCTCGTATTTCTCGCCCGTGGAACTCCCTTCCCTTTACTTGCTATTTCAACAGTAAACGGGAGGGATCTAGATGCCAATCTAGAGGCACGTTTAAATTCATGCAGTGAAAATGTTTGTCAGATAAATTTCCATGAAAATATTTGTAGAAAAGACAGAGAGAAGCCACACCACGTCAGTGAGAAAATGATTGAAGCCGAGATGCCAGGTCAGGATCGATCATATTACAAACCCTTCTTTGGATTTTGTGAAACAGCTCGAGATGAATAGCAGGAGCACCAGACCAGATATGACAGCAATATTCAATGAACGGGTGTAAATGTACACGATGGACTCTGACGAGAAAATTTTTCTGACACAATGCAGTGACCCAACTTTCCTTGCAGTAGATGCAGCTATTGATTCGATGCAGTCGCTCCTTTTCAAATCAATTGAAAACGTGAGACCAAGAAGACGCAGTGTTCTACAGGAGTCTAGTGTCAGCCATGCTAATGGCAGACAGAAAAGTTTCTCTATGGTCGTTTGAAAGTCAGGGAGGTTTTCATTCATGTATAGTGAGTTTTGAGTAATCAGACCTTATGGAGCCTATCCCTCTCCAAGTCAAACTACAGCTGATGTCCTCTAACTTGAAGGTTCGTCTTCGTCACGGGCGCGTGATATTTCGTTATATATTTTTATGACAAATAGCAGCAACCCAACAGCGAAATTGAAAAAAATGTCGAAATATTAAAAAAAAACACTTTGACATAATCTGAATAAGAATATATCTACTTTTCACACTGTCTACAATAGCACATGCACACCGTTTATTATACAGTGTAACCCGGATATAAGAGACCCGGATATAAGAGAGATTTTCTCTGGTCCCAAATTAGAGCCTGTGTTAATGTATATAAAATAGACCAAACCCGGTATAAGAGAAACCCGGATATAAGAGACTTCTTCTCCGGTCCCGACAACTCTCTTATATCCGGGTTACACTGTAGTAGTATAACTAAAATCTTTTAAGACGGTTAATAGAGTATCCGAAAGCGCTCGGGATCAACAGACATTTGGACAATTTCTACGCTCATTCACTCATTCTTTTTTCTGGGGTATTGTCGAACGTAAGCATCTTGATTATGTTATTATTTTCTCTTCGAGTGATATCCATTTTAGTTGTTGCTGGGAAGGTCCTCAGTTGATGTGGTTTCAGTTATTTGGCACAGTTGTTTGTGATTCCACGAAGTTCCAGTAAGAATGGCCTTTGCTGAGACTTGCACGCTTCACTCGCCCGAAGCCATTTTTAACCATCGATCTAAGAAAACAACCGACAGTTTAGATATTTCTGAACGGGTCTGGAGCCATGAATAGGACTCATATAAATGTCTCCATCTGACAAGACTATTTAAACAACTTTGAATGACTCGAGTTTTCAGGTTAATGTTTCGGTTTTTGTAGAAGCTTACGATTTGGGGCAAAATTACTCTTGGCACAGCACTATGTTCAATTTCCTTATCGTATATACATTTTTTTTAATTTAAGAGAAACAAGAAGACATTTTTCTTTTTCCTGTAAGCAGACTGTAAGCATTGAAGATAACACGTCTGCTAAATGTCGACTTTCACTGAAAATAAAATATGCCTATCATTAAACTATCATCTATTTATTCTTTTTACTACAGTTTGGTGTATGAACCTACCGCCACTATCTTGTTCTTCGTATGGGGATTTTCTAAGCATATCTTAGATGTTGCACAAGGCTAAAAAGAAACTAGTGAGGATCGAACTCATAACTCAGTTGTAATTGTAGTAGCGAGCTTGCTAACAATTACACAACGTTGAGATGATCAAATGATTTTTTTGAAGCGTAGATGTGGCACAAGGCCGAAATTGTGGAAAGCACAATAAGGAGCTAACGCAAACTCGTAATTGTTCAAGCAAGACATAATTGCCAATTATTACACCACGTCGAAGTGCTCCAAATGATTTTCTAACGGTAACTTAGATGTGACGAAAGGCCGAAAATGTGGAGTATCCAATGAGGATCGAACCCACTACTCAGTCAAAATTGATATATCGAGACAAGCTTGATAACCATTATCCCATGTTGAAGCACCCACATTGTCCATAGCATGAATGCTTACGGAAATATTTCTCGGACGAGAACGAGACTGTATAAACTGGATTTTCAGACGAAATGACTTCGAAATCCTGTTGGTTTTTATTAGTTATTTCGTAGGAATGCCCAAGGCGAATATCATTAATTACCGTTTATTTAATGCTGTATACAAACGTACATCGAAGCCAGAGCCCGAAATAAAATAAACAAAATAAATCAAGGGAAAAAAATCATGCTAGTTCTTCATGTTAGTAATAGGCATAGCAACAAAATCATTCGGAATTACAATCGACCAGTTTTAAATTTAAAGCCGCTTTTAGCAACACAAGAAAAGAAAAAGATTTTCTGCAGTTATAGCTGCATTGCTTCGTTTTCTAAATAACTCTTTTCAAAATCTTCTATTCCAATAGAAATATTGAAGAATCAAATGTAACGGAAAGACGTCAAGTTATATAGTCACTGTAAGAATTTTTTCTCTATATGTTGCTATCATCGTCAACTTCATCACTCATATGTCATCATACGTCGCCGTCACTGTCATCATCATCATTACCGGAAATGGTCGTAGGATTGCTGCGCAGCTGAACACCTGACCAATATTTTTTATATGTTTTGGCTGTGTCCCGGTGTCTGAGTCTTCCAGCCCACTTAGTGAAGTTTTCAGCTCATTTCTTCTTTTGTCTGCTTGTTCTTCCTTTTTACCTAAGGTGCTTCCTGTATGATGGCGTGTGGAAAGATTGTTCGCTTCATATGTAATTATCACTAAACTGTTGTTTGTTTTTGCTTTTTCAACTATTTATCGATGAGCAAAAGATGTTTAGGCAAAATTATACCGTAATGAAGTGGACGTGCCGGTTAATGACAACACGCGCGACTAATGAGTAACACAAGATATGAACCTTTCGTATTTCACTTTTCATTTTATTTGATTACAATAACTCGTGACGGAGTAATGGATAGCTGCTCGGATCGGGAAATCGGAGAGCCGAGTTCGAATTCCAGTCGAATCTATTACATTCACTTCCGTGCTTGGGAAAGGTATGAATCCTCTTCTCCTCCCCTCCCACCCAGCTATGGGTAAATAGCGGGATAAACCGGGTTCTATAGCCTTGGATGGTCTACTGCAGAAAGAAATCGCAACCTACTGCAAGGAGAAAATCTGCCTCGTCAATCATGCATCAAAAGGATCGCCTAAGCTTGTATTACGCATGACACATAACGGACTGACTGACGTGCTAATACCCTTAGGAAAGGTATGAATCCTCTTCTTCTTCTTCCCCAGCTATGAGTAAATATGAGTAACAGACCGGGTTCTATAGCCTTGGATGGCAACTGGTCTACCGCAGAAAGAAAAATCTGCCATCTACTGCGGGAAAAAATCTGCCTCGTCAGTCATGTATCTTTCGATACATGATCGCCTAAGCGTGTATCACGCATGGCACATTCGTCAGTTACGCTCGGCCAGCGTGTGTAGTTCAGCTCCGAGAAACCTTGTCCAAAATATGGCCCTATCATTATCGTCTGTTTCCGAGAGACTGTTCAACTCCTATCTGGCGCAGTTGTTTATATTAGTGCGTGCATTACAAACCAGATGTGTGTCATGTACTTCTGTATTCGGCGGCTGGATATAAAATCAGGGTTAACTCGCTGGTTCACCTGTCGTTTTGATCGTTAGATGTGACATTGAGTGCATCGTTAATCGATATATGTTTTGCTTTAGAATTTACAAAAAGAATTTATTGATTGATTCTAACAATATTTTTAGATTGGAAGAATTTTTTTAGGAAAGATAGTAATGATTTAGTGATACAAGTCTTACTAATTAACCCATAGCTATAGGCATAAGAGGCGGATTCATACATTTCCCAAGGGCATGTGCGTGTAAGTGAATATAAGGACCCCAACTGAAATTGGAACTCATCTCTCTAATTAACAATTCCGAGCCATTATCCATTACCCCACCCACACATCCAAGCTTACAGCACCTGGTATTCCCAAGCGGTCACACATATAGGTACTGACCAGGGTCGACGTTGCTTAACTTCGGTGATCGTACGAGCATATAATTTCCTTTGTTCTTAATAATAATATAAATGTATTTTTAGGTAATAATGGATTAATGATACAAGTCTTACTAATTAACCCATAGCAAGGGGAAAAGGTGGATTCATATCTTTCCCAAGGTTATTTGCTCATAACTGAATATAATGAACCCAATTAGAATTGGAAATCGACTCTCCGATTAATAAATCCAAGCCATTATCGATTACACCACCTGCACATCCAAGCTTACTTCAGCTGGTATTCCCAAGCGGTCACACATATAGGTACTGACCAGTCTCGATGTTACTTAACTTCGGTGATCGTACGGGCATATAATTTCCTTTGTTATTAATAATAATATAAGTGTGTTTTTTAGGTAATAATGGTTTAAATCTACTAATTAACGAGACTTACTAATTACCCATAGCTGGGGAGAAGAGGTGAAGTCGTACCTATCCCGAGGGTATTTGCGCGTAAGTGAATATAACGAAGCCAACTAGAATTGGAACCAGAGAAATTATCCAGTACACCAGCCGTATATGCAAGCTTACAGCACCTGGTAATTCCCAAGCGCTCACCCATCTAAGTATTGACCAGGCTCGACGTTGCTTAACTTAGTACGGAAATTGGTGTTTGCACGCGATGTGGTCATAAGCCTTATAAAAAGAAAGAAAATAGTAATCACCCAACATACAAAAAATGTTTAAAAAACCGGAGAGGAGTGTGAACCGGGACAAGATTTTATATTTTAAAAAGTTTGGTTCACTTATCTTGGAGGAATTAATTAAAACAAACATCGCCATTTTGTAGCCAAGTTGTTTTGTTTGTTGAAATGGAATATTTGTTGAATATTGTGTTGTGTTGGACAGAAATATAGATTTAAATATATTCATATACATATATTATGAAATCGGCTAACTCCGAATATTATTCTAATATATTTTCTGTTTTTACCTTACTTTTATAGATACATATTTGTATCTATAAAATTAAGGTAAAAATGCTCTATTTCTAATAAACAGCATCAACTACATTTACTGGCCTGAATGTCTGAGAAATTTCATAGAAAATATGTATTCTCCGACAGGAATAGAACCTGTATTCTACACGGAACCGTCATATAGCCTGACGTTCTATTCCATGTAGCTACAGAGGAGACGTCCGGCTAGCAACGTCAAATTACTGTTTTTAAACTACAAATTTTCCATGATTTCTCTCGAACGCTCATATCTGCTCGAAGCGTATCTTAACGTAAACAAATGACGTCTATATTATGAAATGGACTGAGTCCAACAATTATTTTAATATATTTTCTGTTTATGCATTATTTTTATTGATACAAATATTTAAGTAAATGCTCTGTTTAAACGGTATTAACTACATTTACCGGTCTGAATGTCCGAGAAATTTCATAGAAAATACGTGTCCTTTATGTATACTTATGTGATAAGTTATAGTAGAGATATTATTGTGTTCATATTGGTTTTTCGAATAGAAGAAAATCTTTAGGTTATTTTACAAGTACCATTCAAGGCAGACGTTTACTGAATGGTGTCGTTTTATGTCATAAAAAACTGGTAACCTAATAATATTACAAGTTTTTTTTTTCAACGATACATATTGTCACTCATTTTCCAACTCACGGTAGAAGGTTAATAGGTTGTGGAAGGATGAATTTTTCTCTCCTTTTATGTTACAGCTCGTCCTGCATATATATATAAACTTTTCTAAATTAATTCTATTAACGCTCAAGCCTAACTTTTGCTATCGAGAATTTTATGACAAAATCCTGCCTGCCCAAATGACTTTTCCACCTCTGGTGGTTCTACTATATATATATATATATATATATATATATATATATATATATATATATATATATATATATATATATATATAATACTATATATATATATATATATATATATATATACACACACACAGAAAGAAATAGAAAGCGCAGTCAGATTAATGATCCACGTCTCTTTTGCAATTTTTTTTTAAAAAGTGCTCGATACAAAGTAAAGCATTATATTATAATATTATTATTTAAAAATATTTCTTCATCGTGATTCAGAAATTGCAATGTTTCGGAACTAAAATTATTGTTCCATTTTCAAGCGATATTAAGTAACTTCAGAAAAAAATGATTTACTTTTGAAAGCGAAATGGTTTTATATTGAAGAGTTTAAGTAGGAGGGGGAATAAGTTTCCAAAATTATTTTTATAGGTGTTGTCTTATTTGACGAATCCAAAGACATATCTAAGTTAAAATAGAAAAGTGAAAAAATGTAGGTTAGCAGTTAAGTGTGGGTATGTAATTCATGCTTGTCTAGATGAGCCATCTTGTATTAGACATGTTACCATTGTTTCCTGTTAAGTACATAATTATGAGATACATTGAGTTAATGGATTAATTTTTGCATTTTATTTATATAAATAATTTTTTTAATTTTTTATATATTTAGGACTGTCTTAAAGGAGCCTCTAGTATGATTAAATCATTTTATTATATATATATATATATATATATATATATATAATTATTATGATCTAAAATGCAATACTTATTATATTCAATGGTACATTAGACATGACAGTGTTAAAATTAAAAATCAAGGAATTAAGTAAATATTATATGTACTATTATATTTAATCAAATAATAGATATATAATTTAATTTTGTTATGTTTTAATGTGAACGTAGTACAATGCCTGCAAAAAACGGTTAGTACGTTGCGTTGATTTAATAAATATTTATTTTTAAGAAACTTAATAATAAAATATAGGCACGGTGGATTAATGAATAGCGGCTTGGATTGAGGAATCGCGGAGTCGAGTTCGAATTCCAGTCGAATCTAATACCCTTGGGAAAGGTATGAATCCTCTGCTTTTCCCCCCAGCTGTGGGTAAATAGCAGAACAAACTGGGTTCTATAGCCTTTGATGGCAACTGGTCTACCGCAGAAAGGATTGACAACCTACTGCGGGAAAAAATCTGCCTCGTCAGTCATGTATTAAAAGATATATGGTCGTCTAAGCGTGTATCACACAAGGCAGATAACTGACTGAATAATGTTTTTCATCTCTGATAAAGTGGAAAAATCATTTTCGTGTAACGCGTTTCGTCTTCATTGGACTAAAGTGATGTTTACGTTGATGTGATTTACACATGCACATGAAGGATAGTGGACGCTGAAATTTTAAATTTATTTTTTTTTTTAATATGTTTGGGTATATAGTCTAACCGACTCCATTTAGATTCTTTTTATTTATGCTTATGTTGCCATCACTTTCGTAATTAAATATCCCACATTGGAATAATAAAATATCTGCCAAGAAAAATGCTATGTAACTTGGATGTAAATTTACTATGGATGATCTAGCGATTAAAGCACTTTCTATACACTTTCGTCTTAGTAAATTGTCTCCTCTTAAACTTAAATTCAAATTTCATCGTCCTGTAATTATGTCTACTGAATTAGAAGAGACACGCGGTTAATTTAAGCAGACCTCAACATAAATATTATATTTGAGTTCCATTTGTTTTTATTTTCCATAAGTCGTGATTTAAATGACTAAAAAATGGCGTCTGCTGGTAGCCTACGGTAAAGTGATAATTAGCAGTTAGATAAATTCTTTAAAATTAACGAGAGAATCATTTAGAATTAGTCAATTTTTTCATCGAGCGTTTCATCTTTATTCATATTTCTCAATACTTGTTTTAACTATCAGAGATTACTTGACCCCAAATGACTTCTAAGCGAATACGTAATTATGAAGGTTTTAAGAAACACAGTGCTATGGGGTGAAGGATTTGTGTTGATCACAAGGTACAGAATTAGGATGGAACCGCTTAAATAGGGACTAAATCATGACAAACGCCAACACTTGCGTTTCTATGATTACCCAACATTGTCTGTGAGAAAACTTACCTTTGCGATTTTGGAATTACCCAACATTGTCTATCATCCGTGTTGTATAAAGCAGTATGGAAGAAATGATAAAAAAACATTACTCTCTCTCTCTCTCTCTCTCTCTCTCTCTCTCTCTCTCTCTCTCTCTCTCTCTCTCTCCCCATAGTGGCAGGAAATATCTCGTTTTCCTTCCAGGAGACATTTTAATCCACAACGTGTCGCAAAACAGTACTATCACTACACTATCTCCTGTTCGAAATATATATATTGTTACGGCTTACTGCAACTCACCACCTATACCCATACAAAATATTACACTTAGCAATCCATCTCTCTTTCCTAACTCTCTAATAATATAATATGTGAACACTCCCACTCACTTTTGATATATAATAGCAGTCGGTGAAGACAAAGGCAATTAGGTCAGACTGAAGACCACGGCAACAGATGGATGACAAAGCTAAAAATAGATTCTTATACACGTGACGAATAACGTGACCAGATACGAATGATCGAGTGGGAAAGATCGACAGTGGCTGGCGAATCTCGAAGGAAATGGAGTGTATATTAAATTCTCATGTGAATTGACTTTCCAAATTGAAGAGGAGAAATGACGACCCCAACTCACATGAAACTCCAACACAGAATTAAACGGACAATTCCTTTTTCACAGTCAAACAAGAGAGATCACACGACAAAAGACGAACTCCAATTTAACATAACACTATACAGATTATATTAAGGGCATAGGTAAATGACGAAACGTGACCGTTACCTAAGAAAGGCATATGTGATATACTTAATTGGACAAAGGATCCGAATCATAAATTCTACACAGCTAAGCCTCTGACTTACACAGCATCTAAACTTTATACGCAAATGTACGATTTTTGCAGTGCCGAAACTAAAAGATCAGATAATGAACACAACGTTGAAGTAAGAAAATAGATCAAAGGACACCGCTACCAAAATGGTTTGAAATTAAAAGAGACAAAGAGAATCATAAGAGAAAAGGGAAAAGAGAAAATCTTATTTTAGAAGAAAAACTGAAGTTTTCGTTTCAACTTTTGCCTAAAAATACAAAAAACGCATCCATATTT